GTTCCTATTTTTCCATTTTCTCATATTAATCCCATTCCCTTCTATCCTTTCCCTTAGCCCTCCCACTTCCTTCCCCTTTGCCCCTTTTCTTCCTAGGAAATAATTTTTATCATTAACCTGTGTCAGATTTATTTAAAAGATAATTTTCTTGGAGGATAAAATCAAGTCATCATTCTGAAGGAAGTGATTCATGGATCATCTGTTTTACCTTGTTCTTCATTAGCATGGATAATCACAAGAGATTTTTTTTCTGATAGCAAGCAATAAAGTGGGAAATAAGCATATTTAGTCATCATTTTTCAATCATAACTGTTTAAGCTGTTGCTTTCTTTCTATTTATACCTCTTGTATAGTTCTGCAATTTGCAGGAATCTCAAAGGAGGGATGAGTGAGAATGTTTCCAGCTTATGAGGTGAACTTAAACAGATTGAGATCCTGGCTCTTGTACCTTATTTTTTTTTTTTTTTTTTTTTTGGTACCGGGGATTGAACTTAGGACCTTGTGCTTGCAAGGCAGGCGTCAGAACCACTGAGCTAAATCCCCGGCCCCTACTTGTACCTTTTTGTTGATAAGAGTAATGATATATCTGTAGCTGTTAGGACTAGAGGTTGATTGTTTAAAAAAATCTGTGATAAAAATATCTGAGATGTAGATAATAGTATATAATTCTTTTTGTATGTTGCTGGATTCAATTTGCTAATATTTCCATTATTTTCTTAAAGATTTTTGCATCCTACTTTTTTTCCTTTTTTGTGTGTGATACTGGAGATTGAGCCCAGAGCCTTTGCAATAGGCTACATCCTTAGTCCTTTTAAAATTTTTTATTTTGAGACAGGGTCCTGCCAGGCTGGTCTTCAGCTTGTGATCCTCTTGCCTCAGCCTCCCAGAGTACTGGGGGCTACAGGTGTTTGCCACCATGCCTGGCCTCCTGTAGCTTTCCTTTTTACTACTATTTTTGTTTGGTTTTGGTATTAGAGTAATATTAGCCAAAATTAGTTGAGAATTATTCCTTCTATTTTCTGGAAGAGATTATGCAAGATTGGCGTTAATTTTTTAAATGTTTGATAGAACTCCCCAGTAAAGTTGTCTGGGCCTGAAGATTTCTTTTTAAGGAACTTTTAAATTAGGAATTTGAATTCTTAAATGTCTCACTTTGAGCCACTATAACAAAGTGCCATATACTGGGTTGGGTTCTGGGGAGTTCCTTTTTCAGGCCTGCACACCACTAACTTCTTGTACCCTCACATGGCAGAAAGAGTGAGAACTCTCTGGGGTCCTTTCTGTAAGGACACTAATCTGGCAACCTAATTATATCTCAAAGCCCGTTTCCCTCACATTGGGGCTAGGATTCCAAAATGTGATTTTTGTGGACAGAAGATATAAACATTCAGTTCATTGCAATGGTTATGAGATTTATTCAGATGGTCTATTTTATCTTATGTTTATCTTATTTTATGTTAGTTTGTGATTTTCAAGGAATTAGTCCAGCTTGGGGTGTAGCTCAGTGGTAGAGTGCTTGCCTACATGTGCAAGGCCCTGGGTTTAATCCTCAGTACTACCACACACACAAAAAAAGAAAGCATTTTTGCCAGGTGTGGTGTCACACACCTGCAATTCCAGCACTCAGGAAGGAGGCTGAGGCAGGAGGATCACTGTGCATTTGAGGCCAGCCTGAACTACATAGAGAGTTCTGGGCCAGCCTGGGCCACATAGTGAGATGCTGTCTCAAAAAACAAAAACAAAACAAAGCAAAACAAAAACAGAAAAAACCTCCAAAATATAAAAAAAACTCAAGAAAACAAAACAAAACAAAAAGCATTTCTTCTAAATTGAATTTATGAACATCAACTTATTTATGCTATTCCCTTATACTTATAATGCTGTAGGATTTGTAAACCTATTCCATTTCATTCTAGATATTGGAGATTTGTCTCTTTTATCTTTTTCATCATTGTGAGTCTTGCTAGAGGTTTATCAATTTTATTCATTTTTTTCAGAGCCAACTTTTGGTTTCATAGGTTTTTATTTTTGATTTAATTGATTTATGCTCTTTTTAAATTTTCTTCCTTCTGCATGCTTTGGGTTTATTTTCTTCTTTTCTAGTTTCTTGAGGTAGGAACTTGGATTATTGATTTAAGACTTTCCCTTGTTTCTAATGTGAGCATTTTGTGCTATAAATTTTCCTCCGCACTCCTTTGGCTGCATCCTATATATTTTAATAGACTGAATTTTAATTTTCATTTAGAGCTATATGTTTTTAAACTTTCCTTTGAGACCTTTTCTGACCAATGGATTATTCAGAAGTGTTTTGTTCAATTTCCAAATGTTTGCTCATTTTCCTTTATTTCTAGTTTGATTCCATTATAGTTAGAGAATACATTCTGGATTCAACTCATATAAATTTGTTAAGGTATATTTTATGACCCAGGATATGTGCTATTTTGGTCAGTGTTTTGTGGGTGTATTTAAAAGTGCACATTCTGCTGTTGTTGGGTGGAATGAGATGAGTAACAGAAATGAGTAGGCTGCTTAGATATGTGTAATCTACAAATGTACCTTGAGTAAAATTTTTTTCTTTTTCTTTTTTTGGGCAGTATTGCTCCTGCTTTACTAAGACAGGCATCGTATGGCACCATTAAAATTGGGATTTACCAAAGCTTGAAACGATTATTTGTAGAACGTTTAGAAGGTCAGTATACTCACATCTCTTTCACAGAGATCCTCAAAGGGATTATTGGAATTGTGCCTGAAGAAATGATGCCTGGAGAATGGAGGATAGTCACTGCAAGGACAAAGCGAGCTTGTACTTACTTGGGATAAATCCTTGCAGAGATGGTATATGGGTTACAGTGATCTGCTCTTCCAATTTGTCCTTTTCCTATCAATGAAAAAAGGTTTCTGCCAGGTGTGGTGGTGCATGCCTGTAATCTCAGCACTCTGGGTGGCTGACAGGAGGATTGAAAGTTCAAGCCCAGTCTGGGAAACATAGTGACTTAATGAGACCCTGTCTCAAAATTAAAAAAAAAAATGGCTGGGGATATAGCTCAGTCCAACAGCCCTGAGTTCAATCCTCAGTACCATTAAAAAAAAAAAAGGCTTCTTCGGCCAGGATTTAGCTCAGTAGTTCTGCCACTTGCCTTGCAAGCGCAAGGTCCTGAGTTCAATCCCCGGTACGAAAAAAAAAAAAAAAAAGGCTTCTGATTATCCCAAAGGAATCATGTCCAGGAAATTAATGTTGTCCTTATCAATAAGGCATTTTGAACTATAAAGCATTTTCTAGCTGTCAATTTTGGTAAGTGTTAGGTAGATTAATTTTAGGCTATTAAGTTCTAGGTTCTGATGTACCTATGGCTATCTTACCCACATTCAGCATTATCATATGTCTCTCTATTTACTGCTGCAGCATTTCCAGCTTGATATATACTAAATGGTTATTTTACCACAGGCCTGGGGCTGTTGGATGGTTGGGAACAGCTGGAGAGCCTTTCGGTTAGTAATGTCCTTTGAATCACATTATTGTCCTGAATCAGCTTTTCTGGAACCTCTTTGGAAATCCTGAAGGTTTCCCTTCCACTTCTTCCTAAAAGAATTTCTTTTCATAAATTCTTAACTTGAATTTCCTTAGCTTCTGTTTGTAGGTTCTTCATGGTGGGGAGGAGTGGTGAAGATTGAATTTTTCTTGTAGAACTATATGCTCTGTGGTTTCTGTGTTCTTCTAGGTGGTCGGATTTGTTTTGAATGATTGCTTTCTGGAATGAGGGTGTAGCTCAGGGTCTCTATGCTTGCCTAATATGCTGAGGCCCTGGGTTCAGTCCCTAGTGTTATGTAAATAAACAAATCACTGCTTTTTCATATTTGACTACAGAAGCCTTCTGTAAATAGAGGCTAGAAGAAATCTAAGGCCAGTCAAAATTAATACTTAGATATTAAGATTCTCTATTAGACATAAGATTTTATCTTTTAACATGCAGTTGCTGAATTTTTAGAGCAGATGACTATCCATAAAAGACTTAAAAATATATACTTTTGATATTTGGAGTGGTTGGGGGGAAAATACCACATTTTGAATCAGGTGGAATACTGACAATTGTGTAGAAGAATAGGACATGTTCCCGTGTCTTTTAGAAATAGTTACCTTTTTAGAAATAATGATTTATATTTTATAATTTTTCTATATTTGGTACAGATTTGTGATCTAGAAATATTTGAATTTCTTTACTTTCTTACTTTCATAAGCTCTGTAGTTTATCTCTGAAGTCCTATTTCTGACCATGGTTTTGTCTTCCTCCCATAGCTCAGGATTTTGTTTTCAGAAATTAATGCCTAATAAAAACCAGAACTTTTCTATCCTTTTTACAGATGAAACTCTTCTAATTAACATGATCTGTGGGGTAGTGTCAGGAGTGATATCTTCCACTATAGCCAACCCCACTGATGTTCTAAAGGTAAGAGAGATGTCTGCAGTGTGATTTGAGAAGAGCACTAGCTTTATGTTAGATTTGGGTTTAGATTTCCACTCTCTCCATTGTTAGCTATAAAATCTTGGGTAAATCACTTTATTGCATTATGCCTCAATCAGTTTCCTCATTTGTAAAATGAAGATAATGAAGTTCTTATAGCATAGTGTTGTTGATAATCAGAGATACTATGTAAACTGGCTAACATCGTACTTGGCAGTAAGTGCTCAACAAATATACATAATAGTCAATTTATTATGATATGCATTAATTCATTAGTCTTCAAATTGGAGCATGGAAACCTCTATAGGTTATTTTTCAAGGGCTGTGCAGTTTTAAAGGCATCAGTTTCTAGATCCCTTACTTCCATTTGTGTTCATTCTAAAACTGGCTTGAGAATGAATCTGCATTTCTAATGGCTCTTTTCCATTTTACTAAAGAAAAGTATATCTCTTACCCATTCCAAATCTTCATATACAGTAATATACTGGCCTGAAGTGTAACCTTGGGTATCCAACAAGCAATAAATTGAAATACACTTCTTGGGAGTAGCCTCCTTTAATAACTTATTTACCTTAAATCTGTACTGCCTCTCTCTTTTCCTGTCTTATCCATATTTCTATTAAAAATGAGGCTTGGCTTTTAAAATGATGTATTTTGACCTGTTTTGGAATATTCTGAATTTGGGATGAGAACACTATGGGTTAGTGGTCTTCATTTGTTAAAAATATAATTGAATTTCTTTAATGTTTTGTCAAATCACAGAGTGAAACACTTAATATCAATATTCATCTTACTTTATCATGAACTGATATTCTTTATTAACATTTAAGAACTAAATATATGACTAAAATATGTGAGAGGATCCTAAGGTTTTAAAAATTGTTTCAGGAGGGTATATGAGAAAAAAGAAACAGGACACATGCTTTTCTTCAGAGGTGATGAAACCACAAGTGGCTAAGTTAGTGAAAAAGAGATCTGCAATTCAGAGTTTTGAGAACTAAGAGAGTTGCGAAACAATACACATGAGAGAAGCCACTGGTGGTTCACGGAGAAAAGATAGGAAATAATATTTTTGAATTAGAGTGAGAGTAATTTAGCTACTGAGCTTTTATATCTACTTTGGATTTACAGAACAAGTATTTATGCAGAGAATTGACTGTATCTAGAACTCTAGAATTTTTGAAGTATTGTATTTGTTAGAAAGTGCTTTTCAAGAAAAAGAAGACTTAACTCCCTGAAACTTCTTTGTTATCCATTTGGATCCTAGACTCAATCACCTAAGTGATTCACTTTAATTTCTTGTCCCTCTGACCTCTCTGGCAAAATTGCAAGCATTGACCAATGCTACTGCCTATCTTTTCCTTTCTTTTACCTTGGTATAGGACTAAGTGATGCTGAGCAGACAGAAAGTCACAATTTAGACTGGGACTGTACCAATATGATTTATAAAAGCAGTTGGGTTGTTTGAAGCATAGGTGTAGTGGCACATGCCTGTAATTCCAGCATTGGGGAGGCTCAGGTCGAGTTTGGGGTCAATCTACCGCATAATGAAGCCCCATCTCAAAAAATATTTGATTGTTTGGTCTTTTCACTTATCCTTAGACATCTCTTTTTCCTGTCCTCAAAGACATATTAAGCCTTCCTTTTATCTTGTTGTTGCTCTTTCTCTCAGGAGATAACCCTACTTCCTGTGGATTCACCTTCTATCTCTCAACTTTCTGTCTTTTCCACCCTTCATGTATAAATTTATTTATATTTGTACTTATCTGTACCATTTCTCTACTGTAGTGATTCTCAAAATGTGTTTCTCTAGACCTGCAGCAGCATTACCTGGGAACATGTTCTCAGGTATCCCACATTTATGGAATCAGAAAGAGGGAGGTGGGGCCCAACAGTGTATGTTTTGACAAGCCATCTAGGTGATTTTAAAAAATGATCAAGCTTGAAGCCATGGCTTTATTCTCCTCTTACTCATTAGCCACCTTTTCTTATCATTTATCCATTTTCTTTCTTATCTGCAGCCTCTTCTCTACTAGTTAGCTCCCCTCAAAGGATAAATGTGTTAAGCTCTGTCTGTCCTAAAATACTTTCTCCTAACCCTGTGCCCTCCTCAAAATGCCATCTCTCTTTTTCCCTTATCCAGATTTCACAAAAGAGTAGTCCTCATCTTCAGTTCCCTCCATAACCTGCTGTAATCATGTCTACTACTGGCTTGAAACGATTCTCCCCAGGGTTAGCAGCGGTGTCCACATTATCCAATCCAGTGGGCATGTTAGTTCTCAACTTGTTTTGACTAATATCTCCTGCTTGAAGTTCTTTTATTTTGATTCTTTTCCTGTGGTTCATACTCCTCAGTTTCACATGTGGCCTTCTTTTTTTCTATTCATACCTTAAATGTTTCTCTTCTCCAATTCAGAGTTCCAGCCTTGACTCATTTCTCTTCTATACTCTGTCCCTGGTTGGCCCCTTTTCTTTTTCTTCTTTTCTTTTCTTTCTTTGAAGTACTAGGGATTGAACTCTGGCCCTTTGTACTGCTCTACATCCCTAGCCCCTTTTTAATTTTTAAATTTTATGTGCTCGGTTTGGCAGCACATATATTAATTTTTAAATTTTATGACAGGGTATCATTAAGTTTCAGCTTGAACTTGCAATCCTCCTGCCTCAGTCCTCTAGAGTGCTGGGATTATAAGCATGCACCAACATGCTACGCTGGCCATTTTTGTTTTTAAGACTTTAGCTCTCACTCTGTTGTTTAAGATATAGGCTAAGCTGTAAAAAAGAAACTGAAAAACACAAGGCTTCAAACAAGATAGGAGATAATTTTCCCCTCATGTAACAGGCTAGAGTAGTTTGTGCTTGTGGGTTTGCCTACCCCACCTAGTTATCTAAGTCCAAGATTCCTTCATTTTTGTGGCACTCCCATCTTCTAGAGCAGAGTTGGCAAATTACTGTGTGGGGACCAAATCCAGCCTTCAGTCTGTGGTAAGTAAAGTTTTATTGGCACGCAAACACACTTTCTTTTTTTTTTCATTAAGGTTATTCGTACATTTTAGGTATACAATACAGTTACATTCATCATTGGGATCTTTTACCTTTACATGGTGTATCTTGGTTCTTATTTTTTCGCCATTCCCCTGCCCTCCCTTCACCCCCTCCACCCTTCTCTATTTACAAAGACTTTGTTTCCATTTTTTCCTTTTCTCATATTTTTTCTTTTCCCTTCTTTCTTTCCCCTACCCCTCCCACTTCCCCACTCCTTTAGACCTTTTCTTCCTATTTCACAATATCAATTATACATTTTGAACCTTCTTTACACTTTTAGTTTTTCACACCAGCAAAACTATTCAGTATTTACACGTGTGTCCTATTTATTTCACTTAAGAGTATCGGCTCAGTGTCATCCATTTAGCTATAAATGGCTCCAGTTTCTCATTCTTTATGTCTGAGTAGTACTCCATTTTATAAAAAAACCCCACATCTTTATCCAGTCTCCAGTTGATGGGCAACTGGGCTGTTTCCAAGTTTTAGCTATTACAAACTGTGCGGCTATAAACATGGGTGAGCATACATCACTGTGGTATCATTCTTTTAATTCTTTTGGGAAGAGACCCAACAGAGGAATAGCTAGGTCAAATGGGACCTCTAGTCCTAGTTTTTTGAAGTATCTTCATACTGATTTCCACAGTGGTTGCACCAGTCTGCACTCCCACCAACAATGGAGAAGGGTTCCTTTCTCCCCACAGCCCCGCCAGCATTTGTTATTGGTTGATTTCATGATAGCAGCCACTCTTTCTGGGGTGAGGTGGAATCTCAGTGTTGTTTTCATCTGCATCTCTCGAATGACCAGTGATGTTGAACATTTTTTCATATCTTTATTTGCTGCTTTTACTTCTTTGTCTGAGAAATGTCTATTCATTTCAGATGCCCATTTTTGCATTGGATCTTTATATTTGGGGAGGGGTATGATTTTTTTGAGTTCTTGATATATTGTAGGTAGTAGACCTTTGTCTGAGGAACAGCTGGTAAAAATTTGTTTCCCACATTGTAGGTTGTCTCTTAGCTCTGTTGGTGGTTTCTCTTGCAGTGCAGAAGCTTTTGAATGAGATGAGATCCCAGTTGTTGATTCTTTCTGCTAGTTCCCGTGCTACTGAGGTTTTGTTCATAAAGTCTTTTCCTATGCCAATGTCTTCGAGAGTTCTACCTATCTTCCAGCAGGTTTCATGTTTCTGTTTTAATATTTAGATCTTTAATCCACCTTGATTTTAGTTTAGTAGATGGTGAAAGATAGGGGTCTAGTTTTAATCTTTGGCAAGTTGAAGTCCAATTTTTCCAACACCATTTATTAAAGAGGTTATCTTTCCTCCAGTGAGGATGGTTGGCTCCTTTGTCAAAGATGAGGTAGCTGAGTATGTCTGGAGTTGTTTCTGCATCTTCTAATCTGTTCCACTGATGCTCAGGTCTGTTTCTTTGCCAGCACCATGGTGTTTTTTATCATAGTGGCTTTGTAGTATAGTTTCACTTTGGGGATTGTGATACCCCTGTCATCAGACACACCATTTCTGTGTTGCCTGTGGTTGCTGTTATATTTCTGTGGCAGAACCAAATAGCTGTGACAGAGGCTATAAACCCTACGAACCCTGCTATATTTACTATCTGGTCCTTCACAGAAAGTTTGTTGACCCATGCCCTGTGGTACTGTTTTAATCTGTATAGTTGAAATTGGGCCACCATCATGTCTGTTCTAGCCCATAGGAAAACAGAGTCAGGGGAAATTAATTTTTGCTTTGTCAAAAATAAAGTCAGATTAAAGTTTGCTATACAATAAGAGAGTACAGATCATGATCCAGAGACTGCAAACCACTGGTAGGAGGTTCACCTTCCAGCAGTCACAGCACAGTTGTAATGCATAAAGGAGGAAGTATAGCCATCCCTCAGTATCAACGACAGGATTTGTTCCAGGACTTTGATCCCCCCATACCAAAATCTTTGGATGCCCAACTTGTTTATATAAAGTGGAACAGTATTTGCATATAACCTATGCATATCATATTCACATGTACACTTTAATTCATTTCCAGATTACTACTTATAATGCCTAATACATTATAAATGCAATATAGTTATACTCTTTCCAAGAATGGCAAGGAAAAAGTCTATCTGTGTTCAACACAAATGCAAAATTTTCCTGAATATTTTCAGTCAGTGGTTGTTTGAACTTGTAGATGCAGAACTGTCGATATGGATGGCTATCTTTTGACCTTTTCTGATTGGCTGTATCCACTGTCATTTTTTTAAGGCAAACTGATATGTTTAAGATGATATGTCTAAAGCTGATTGGTTTCATTTCATTGAATCATGCTGACAAGGATGTAAAGCATATATTTTGTGTTTATGATTAGAGATGTTATATTGGAAAAATCAGCGTAATTTAACTTTTGGGTGATGGGTGGTTGGTCTTGGGGTATATCTCAATGGTGGCCTCCTCTATTTTTTAATAGTTTTTGATAAACAATTTCAAACATACGCAAAAATAGAGAAAAGTATAATATAGTGAATATTCTGTGTGCATCACTTACATTCACTTGCCTCGCTCTAGTCCTAGCCTTGCTTAGGAATCACTTCCTTGAAGAAATCTTCTACTTACCATAGGGTAGTTTTGATTTGTCTTTAGGATATTGTGCATCTTGATTTAATTGAGTTTAGGTTTTTACTTTAAAACTCTTAGTAGTAGTGGTTGACTTCCTGCATAAAAGCATGCTGCTAGTACATTACATAACAAGGACAATTATTGAAACCTATAATGCTATAGTTGTGCTTCATGAAAATAAAAAATTAGGCCTACATTTGGGCTACTAATTTTTGTGGGTTTTTTTTTCTCTTTGTGGTACTGGGAGTTGAACCCAGGGTCTTTGCACTGAGCTACATTCCCACCCCTTTTTATTTTTTATTTTGAGACAGGGTCTTGCTAAGTCACTAAGTTGCCCAGGCTGGGTTTGAAGTTGTGATCCTCCTGCCTCAGGCTTTCAGAATGCTGGGGGGCACTGTATTTAATGTCTAAGTACAGTGATTCTATATATGTGGACTCTGGCAAGTTGTACCAAATCTTTTACATGGCTATTTAATGGTATATTTTCTTTCTTGCAGTGCTCAAAGGCCACTTGACCAAATATAGTGTCATGCTTTTTACAAATAAAGCTCAATTTAAGGTCCTGTGAACATAAAATTATATTCAAAAACATTTTTATTTTTTATAATTATGTAAGCAATGCATGTTCAGTGTAGCGAGAAATGAAGGGCAGAACAAAAAACACAAAAGAGAAAAATGCCCACTTGTAACCTTACCATTCAGACATGAATCACTGTCTGTGTTTGGGTATGTATGTTTGTGCATCCAGTCTCCTTGCTGTATTTATGGATATTTTAAAGTTTACATGTTTTTAATAAAATAGATACACATACTGTTATGCAGCTGTTTTTCTCTTTAGCAATTAATATTTTTACATTTTCCAAAGACAACAAATATTCTACAAGAACATTTTATGGATCCATAAAATTTTTCATTAAATGGATGTGTCATAACTTATGTAAACAATGTGTTACTGTTTTTAATCATAAAGAATTATTTTCTATAGCCACTGAATACTAGTTCTTTTATCCAAATTTTTCTTCCATCTTCAGAAATGATGAACTTAGTATGCAGAATGTGAGGCTAATGAAAATCATCTTTAAAAACTACTCTTTGATACACATTATTTCTGTATATGGTTTACCACACTAATTTCATCATAATAGCAGAGATTTTTCTGAAAATTCTCAAATGCTTTTTTCTTAATTTTAAATGAGTGAAACATCTCATTTTGATTCTTTCTGTGAAAATATTCACTTATTTTAGATTCGAATGCAGGCTCAAGGAAGCTTGTTTCAAGGGAGCATGATTGGCAGCTTCATTGATATATACCAACAAGAGGGCACCAGGGGTCTGTGGAGGGTGAGTACTCCTTCTGGTATTGTTCGGTACTCTTCAGTTCCTAGAATTTGCAAAGGATATTTTTTATACAAAGCCACAGAAGTGTGAATGCTAATTCCCAAAATAAGGTAAGAAGCTCCTTATCACCCGTGAAAGGACCAAAAGGTTATTAGAGGTTTTTATTTCTGCTTAATATCGGGGGATCATATTGTGGGAAAAGTTATTACATTATTTGAGATGGCCATTCTAATTTGCACAACTTCATAGTGAAATTAGTTTGTTAGTGTATTTTTTGCCAGTTTTGTGCTAAGGTAATGTTTGTCTGTGATGGTCTCTGTAGTGCTTATGTTCAAAAGTTGTTACCTAAAACAACTTTTTTTGTGGTGTTGGGGTGTAGGGCCTCACTTATACTAGGCAAGCACTCTACCACTGCATTCCATACTGGGTCAAAACAACTTCTTTATCCTCATAAAAAGTAAAAGATGTATGGGAAAATATTGAGAAAATACAGAAAATTTTAAAACATCAGTAGTACAGCCACCCATTGGTAATTATTGTTAACATTTTCTCATATTATCTTCTAGTCTTCTATTTATACTTTGCTTTTTGTTGTCATTGTTGCTCTATCTTTTTAATTCATTCTACTCACATAATATTTTAATAATAACTAAGACTCCTAGTGGAATATCGAGTGAAAGTAGAATGGGAAATCCATTAATATACTTCTGAATAAAAATGAGGGCTTTGCTGTTTTCCTTTGTTTGTCATTTTCCACAACTACTTATCATAAAAAAATCCAAACATAAAAAAAAGTTGAAAAAATTGAACTATGAACACTACATACTCATAAATGATTGATAAAGCTTGGCGATATTTATGTGTGTGTATACACATGTACACACTTGTTTTGCTAAACTGTATGAAAGTAAGTTGTAGTCATTATGGCACTCTCCCTAATACTTCATTGTGCAGAATATAAGAATAAGAACATTCTCCTCTATAATAACAGTACCATTATCACATGTAAGAAAATTACCAGTAAATCTTTAATATCAAGTTCATATTAAAATGTCCTATATTGATGGGACCAAGGTAGTTTTCTTATGGAATATTTCCATGTTTGTTTAACTTTTTCCTCTATCTCCTGTATTTATACACTAAAAGTTGAGACCATTGGCTTGCTTATATTCATGTTAAACTTTTGGTGGCCAGCTTTGTAGGTGATGCTGTGTATTTGATGCTGCATCACAGCAAGAGGTGCACAGTGTTAGGTTGTCCCATTATTGTGCTAAGTTTTATTACTCAGTAAGATGAGGTCCATGAGGTCTTATTGTGTAAAAAATTTTCTCTTTGAAATTAGTAATCTGTAGGGTGTTACTCTACAATATGTGTACATCCTAATACTTAATAACTGAATATAATTGCTTTTATGATCTGGGCTATTTACATGATTCGGTACATAATGTAAACAAGCAAAGTACATTGTATTATGTGTTCTTTTTTGAGACAGGATAACATTTCACCTAATGATCATATCATCCAGTAATGATTCTTGAGATTTGCTTTTTGATAACACCAGTGTGTACTTTCTTGATTAGTCTAATACAGTGATGGCAAACCTTGTAGAGCTTTCAATGATAACAAACAGCCGGCTGCAGCATACGTGCCATAGGTTTGCCACCACTGGTAAAACCAGAAAACAGAACTAACTAGAACTTTTTCATAAACAAATGCCAAGGGACAAAGACAAAGCAATAGAGTTGGAGATGTTGTCAGTGGAGCACAGCTGTTTTATTTTTTATTTTTAATTGTAAAATTTACCACATAAAAATTTACTCAACCATTTTAAGTGTGCAGTTCAGTAGTTTTAAATACATTCACATTGTTGTGCATCTAGTCTCCGTAACTCTTTTCATCTTGCGACACTGAAACTCTAGAGCTATTCAAATCTTGGTTTCCCCCTTTCCCCAGGCTCTGGCAACTCCCATTCTACTCTCTGTCTCTATGAATTTGATTAGTCTAGATATTTCATCTAAGTGGAATCATATAGTATGTGGCTTCTATGGGATTTCACTTAGCATAATGCCCCCAAGTTTCATCCGTGTGGTAGCATGTGTCAGAATTTCCTTCCTTTTTAAGTCTGAATAATATTCCATTGTAAGTATATACTACATTTTGTTTATCTGTTCAACTATTGATGACAATTGGGTGGCTTCAACCTTTTGGCTATTGTGAGTAATACTGCTATGTACTTAGATGTACAAATATCTCTTTGAGAACCTGCTTTCAATTTTGGGGAGTATATACCCAGAAGTGGAATTGCTTTACCATATGATAATCCTATGTTTAATTTTTGGAGGAGCTGAACATAGCTGTTTTAATGATTCAGGCTACTTATATGTTCTAGGCATGAAGCATAAAGAAGCAAAGTATGTATTCTTTTGAGACAGACATTTTATATGCATATTAAAAATACCAACTTTTTTTCATTTCAATAAGGAAATATTTTTGTTTTTCTTTAGACACAGGGTCCTCTTTGTTTTATTTTTCAGCTTTGTTTTTTTTAATCAATAGTATTATTCATGTGAACAGTTTTACAAAAATGGTATCACTCAATTTGCTTAGCACATACTCATTTACAGCTAATTTTGAATAGCACACTGTTACATATTTTAAGTGACTTGTGTTCCATGGTGCTTTGTTTGTTTTTGAGACAGGGTCTCTCTATGTAGTTTGTGCTGACCTTGAACTCACTGTGTAGCCCAGGCTGGCCTCAAACTTAGGGCAATGTGAGTGCTGGATTACAGGTGCGTGTTACACCCAGCTTATTTTCCTGCTTTGATATTAGCATGGGTACTGGAAACATTTCACTTTCTTAACACCATTGAAAGAGAAAACAGCAGGAGTGCAGTAACAAAGTGTAATTGGCACTGACTTCAGAGTTAGGCAGTTGTGTGGTGAGGCCTATGATGAATTGGAGAGCACCTGGCCTCTTGAAAAAGGACAGCTGCTCCTCAACTCTAGCCTATTGCTGCCATATGTTGATGGTGAGCCCAATGTGGCCATATTTTCTGGTCTGTAAAGAGAAGCAGGAAACCTGCATTTCTGTGTGAAATATACTAATTTTTCACACATCGCCAGGTAATTGAGTCTTTTAGAAATATTATGTGAGCCACACAAATCACGTCTGTAGCCTGAATTTGGCTTGTGAGTCCCAGTTTGGGGCCTTAGTATTCACCAAAGTGGTCTTGTGGGAAGGCTATCCTCTTTAACAGAGTGAAGCAGGTGGAGGAGTCATAGAAATAGGCAGTATTTCCCCAGATCAGCAGGATCAAGCATCTCAGCACAGGTATATCACTTCCACTTTATAAATTAAGTTTTGGAATTTAAATTTAGTTTGGGAGTTGAACACTTTAATATAAGAATTGTCTCAGAAAGCAGTTATCACCATCATATGTTATTTTCAAGTTTTAAAGTTTATTTTCATTTGTTCCCTATTTCTTTTTTTTTTTTTTTTGGTACTGGGGATCGAACTCAGGGACCTTGTGCTTGCGAGGCAGGCGGCGGAACCACAGAGCTAAATTCCCGGCCCAATATATTTTCTGAATTTTCCAAGTGTTCTCCAATAAACACACAATTTTTTTTTTTTTTTTTTTGGTACTGGGATCGAACTTGGGACCTTGCGCTTGCATGGCAGGCGGCGGCACCACTGAGCCAAATCCCCAGCCCTGTTCCCTATTTTATTGTGGTATGATTGACAGAAATTGTGCGTACTTAAGGGTCATAATGTTTTGTTTTAATATTTAAGCAGTTATAAAAGTAAAACACTCATGAACGTATAAAAGAACAGAAATGCATAAAAATGAAAATTAACTCGTGTGTTATCCTAATCAAAGAAGAAAGTTTTAGTGTATTTCTTATCCTTTCTAAAAAATGTGGTGCATATAAATGTATGTATACAATAATACTATATATAATTTCATGTCTTGTGTCTTAGTTACTTTTCCTCATTGCTGAGACAAAATACCCAAAACTCAAAGGAGGAAAGGTTTACTTAGCTCATAGGTTTTAGAGGTTTCAGTTCATAGTTGGCTGGCTTCAAGGCAGGATGACATGGTAGAGGAGCATCACAGGAGGAACAGTTCATGATGGGTAGAAGGCAGCAAAAGAGCAAAGTAGCAAAGCAGCAGCAAGCAGCAACAGTAGCCCTCTTTCTATCCCTTATATTCAGTCTAGGCTACCTGCCCTTAGGGTGGATAGCACTCATGCTCAGGGTAGGCTTTCCTATTAATCACACCTAGAACTTTGCCAAACCAATCAGTGGATTAATTTAGTAATCACATACCCTTGATTCCAGCATCACACACTTAATTCCAGCATCATACACTCTAGATCCAGCTACCTCTGAAAATCCCCATCTGTGACTACATGAGGCTTTGGGGGGACATGTAGACACAAGCCATAACATCTTGCCTTTTTTTCGTACTGGCGATTGAACCCCAGAGCCTTTGCACTGAGCTACATTCCCAGCCCTTTTAAATTTTATTTTTAAATTTTAAGACAGGGTCTTTCTAAGTCACTAAATTGCCCAGGTTGGGTTCAGACTTGTAATGCTTTTGGATCAGCCTCCTAGAATGCTGGGATTATAGATGTGCACCAACATGCCTGGCTTGTCTTGCCTTCTTCAATGTTATCTCATAAGAATTTTCTTATATCATTAATGTTCTTCAAAAATATGTCTTTTAACACTAGCAGCCCTGTGCTGTTGTTATGTGATCTGTGATAGGAACATTGTACTAGTGAATACAACATTGGTAATGTTACCACAAGAAGACTTGCAATGGAAGTACTACTTTCCCTTGGCCCTTCCCCAGTTGCTTCATACTTTTGCTGTCACCCTCTTATGTGTCCTTTCTGCATATCTTAAAGCTCTGTGAATTAAACTTGGATGATCTCTTCTCACTGACTTTTGCTTCATGATTTTACTTTTCATAATAGCTTTATTGGGATAATTCACATACCATGAAATTCACCATCTTTACACAGTATATACTTTAAAGGGTTTTAGTATATTCATAGATTTGTGTGTAATCATTACCATCTTTAAGTTCAAAATGTTTTCATTACCAAAAACAAAGCTACCCATTAGTAGTCATTTCCCATTTTCCCCCCAACCCTCCTGCCCTGGCCAATCATTGTGCAACTTTCTGCCTCTGTAGATTTGCCTATGCTAGGTATTTCATATAAATGGATTCGTATTATTGCTTGTATCTAGATGTCCCCCCAAAGCCTCATGTGGTCATAGGTGGGGCTTTTCGGAGGTGGCTGGATTGGATCTAAGGTGTGTGATGCTTGGATCAAGGATGTGATGCTGGGATTGATTCATGGTGCAATGCTAGGATTAAGGGTGCCCCACACTGGGTATGAGTGCTACCTGCCCTAAGGGTGGGTACCCTGGATAGGATATGAGGGACAGAAAGAAGGTTGCTGCTTATCACTTGTCACTTGCTTCTTGCCACTTTTCTTCTTCACTACTTTGCAGTCTTTTGCCCACTATGAACTGTTCCTCCTCTGCAATGCCCCTCTGCCATACCACCCTGCCTTGGAGCTAGTCAAATATGAACTGAAACCTCTGTGAACTGTGAGCTAAATAAACCCTTCCTCCTTTAACTTTGAGTGTCAGGTATTTTGTCTCAGCAATGAGAAAAGTAACTAAGATGTATAGTGTTCTAGCTTAGTCATTAGTATATTGTTTTCAAGGTTAATCTGTGTTGTAGCATGTATCAATGCTTCATTTCTTTCTTTTTGTTGTTGTTGTTGTGCTGAGGATGGAACCTGAGGCTTGTGTGCATGCTAGGCAAGTACTTCACCATTGAGCTACAACCCCAGCTTCAGTACTTCATTGTTTAATGGCTGAAGAATGATTCCATTGTATGCTTGTGTTACTGGGTTTAGGGGTGCTGGAGTCTCCTAGAGGTGGTTTGTTTGTTCTTTCTGTCCTGAACAAAGAATTGATCAAGACAAATGCAAATGGTAATAAAGTTTTACATTTATTAAATATAGGAAAAACAAAACAGGCTCTGTAGAGCAAGTTTGGGCCAAGTAGGAAAAGAAGTATGCTCTACAGGAGAGAGTGGGCTACAGTGAGAGAACACAATAGCAAAAACTCAATGTGGACCATCCTTTTCGTATCTCCCACTCTTCAGGTTGACACCGGGTCTAGGCTGTCCTATCAAAAGCTGCTTGAGTTCTTGCAAGAAGTCCATGTACAAGGCTTTAGGAACTGTTTTGTGCATGTGTCCTGGGATTATATAATTAACAGATCACACCTACTTCCCCAGCCAGCTTTGCCATGCCCTAATCTCCACTCTCAATTATACCACATTTTTAAATCTATTTCATTGGTTATTTGGATTATTTTGTACTTTTTGGATGTTATGCCTAATGCTGCTATGAATATTGGTTTTTCCTTTCTTTATGAAAATGTTTTCAGTTCTCTAGGGTATGTACCTAAGAATGGAATTGCTAGGCCATATGGTAAGTTTATGTTTAACTTTTCCAGGAAATGCCAAAATGTTTCCCACAGGGGCTCCCCTGTTTTTACATTCCCACCAGAAGTATGTAAGGTTTCCAATTTCTCCATATCTTCCTCAACACTGTCTTACTTTTAAAAAAATTATAGTTACCCAAGTAGGTGTGAAGTAGTATGTCATAGTGGTTATGATTTGCATTTCTCTAATGACCAGTAATGTTGAACATCTTTTCATGTGCTTTTTGGCCATTCATGTATCTTCTTTGGGGCAAATCTTTTGCTCATTTTAAATTGGATTGCTTTTGTCTTTTTATAGTATTATAAGAGTTCTTTATATATTCTGGATATTAGTTCCTTATGAGATATATGATTTGCAAATACTTTTTTCTATTGTGTGTTGTCTTCACTTTCTTGATAGTGTCTTTTTAATCACAAATGTTTTAAATTATAATGAAGTCAAATTTATCTTTCTTTTGTCTCTAATGACATGTGTCATATAAATGATTTTATTTTTAGTATACCAAGTGAATTCTGCATTTATGACTGTTGAAGTGATAGCCATTGATTTGAAAGAGTGACCTCTATATTTCAGACTTGGATTTTTCTTGCACCTTTGAACTCTCAACCTATTTTTGTTCACTTTAAGACTTATGTCACTCTGTATTTCCTTAAATGTCTAATATCACTTGTGTTTTGTAGGGTGTGGTCCCAACTGCTCAGCGTGCTGCCATCGTTGTAGGAGTAGAGCTACCAGTCTATGATATTACCAAGAAGCACCTAATACTGTCAGGAATGATGGGTGACACAATTTTGACTCACTTTGTGTAAGTAGGATAGATTATGCTCATTTTATATTTCTGGTAATTTGAGCACAAAAAGCCTCTTTCATTGACACATCAGGTGGAGCTGATAACTGGTACATATGGCCTTACTACCCTTGCCTCTCCTATCACAAGCACTTCAAGTCTTTTGAACATTTTACATTTCACACAGATCTCAAATGTTATAGGTGCTTGGATATTTGGAAGCCATGTGTAATAGAACAAGATGTCTCTGGGATTTGCATTTATTTAAACAGGACTCTGTATCTATTAAGCACATCTGTTATTAGCTTTGGTTAATTTCATATCAGAAAACAAACTTTTCTCAGTGGGAATCAGAAAAAATGGCGAAATTTTACAATTTCTTGAATTTGACCACAGTTTTGGATGAAATCTTGCTAATCTCATCTTAAATTTTCTTTATTATGCAATCTTTATGGTATTTTGCTACTCAAATGCGTTTGCTATAAGATTCTGTACTTTGAAAACTTTATGTAACTAATTGTTGATGCATAAGAATCAACTATTGGCTGCCTGCTTCTGGATCTTGTTAGCCTTGAAAATTGTCTCCTTTAAAAAAAAGAGGCCAAGTTTCGGATTGAAAACTGAAGGGGCAATCTTTGCATGATGTCTCTTTAGAAAAAAATTTCTTTTCTCTTTAGATTTTAATGCAAGGGCAAGTGTCAGGGTTTATCTGATGGGTCTGAGATACTGTACCTTTATGTTTGGCCTGATTCCTATTTAAGTGGCAGAAGGTGGAAGTGGGGGCAATCCGAATTCTTAAAGTTTACATCTTCAGTTCCAGCTTTACATGTGGCTTGGCTGGGGCTCTGGCGTCCAATCCTGTTGATGTAGTGCGAACTCGCATGATGAACCAGAGGGCAATTGTGGGACACGTGGATCTCTACAAGGGTACTTTGGATGGTATTTTAAAGGTATGCATACTGTGGATTTGGCTTACATATTTAGTTTTCTTTGATGTCTCAGACCTTTTTTCAGTCCTTATTCTTGTTGCTGTATGGCATTCTGAAGATGAAAGAAACATTATGTGTATTTTTAGTAGCCTCTCAAAGTCATCCACAGGTAGAAAGCTGTCTCTTTGGCAATCTGCCGATTCACAGTGGTCCTTAGTATTTAAGGGCTTGAGAATACAGGATGCTTTTATTCGTAGCTTTCTGTAGAATTACCAATAGAAAAAACTTAACATATCTTGCATTTTCCCCCTTTAGATAAGATAGAGACCCCATAATAGAAAATTTGGCACTTAAGCAAAAACTAAAAGCCTGGTACTTGATTGGGGGTTGTTCTATTGTTCACAGTTTGCCTTGAAAGTTTCTGTTGTTATGTTTGTAGGAAGCTAAATATCATAAATGTATCATATAATTTGATGATATTGCTACTACAGAAACAAATTTGGGCTAAAATGTGACAGTGCTATTTCTCTGCTGTTAATCAGTTTCATTGAACGACTTTGTTGTATATCAGGAACCATTTTAGTAGCTGCAGAGAAATTATAGCTATTACAAAAGTACTATATGTGTACAAACAGATCATTAATACAAACTGGTAAGTGATAAACTCAGTGCTATGCAATGAAATTATAGCCTAATTGGAAGTTTGAAATCAGCTCCCTGTAGAAGGTGATAAATTGAAAAATAATTCACATCTGTTGAATACTTTGTTGTGTGTTGGGAGCTGTCCTAATGAGGCTTATATATGCATATTCATTCATTTAATCCTCACCATTACCCTATGGGTAGATGCTGAAGCACTGAGGGATTCAGTAACCTGTTCAAGGTGTCACAGCTAGTAAGTAGGAGTGCTGGAGGAGACTCAAACCATTTGGCTTCCAGCTGAACTTCTTAACTTCTATGCTGTGATGCATTCCTCATTTTGTTAGGGTTGTCTAGGTTATAAAGGATATTGAATGTTATACTATAGTTGGACTTTTTAATTATGATGACAAATATTAAAAGGTTTGAATCAGGCCAGATTTGCATTTTTAATAGCTCACTCTGGCTTTCCAGAGATGAGATCTATCACAATAATTCTTAATCTTGGGTGCACACTGGAATCACTTGGTGAACTTTTACAGCCCATTTATTTACCTTAGCAAATCAACTCAAAGCTGAGGGTGTAAGAGCCAGGTTCAATATTTTTAAAACTTCTCAGGTGATTGCAATGTTCACCCAAAGTTGAAGACCACTAATCTAAGGGGATAAGCATGAAACTATGGTTCTTAAAGTGCCTCAGAATCACCTGGAAAATTTATAAAAATGCAGTTAGACTGAGGTCTCGAGTTGCGCGGAACACGCCAAATCAGCCCACTGCAGAAAGGCAGGTCTGTGCACGCCCTACCGAGGTCCCGAGTCGCGGAACATGCCAAATCAGCCCACGCCCCGGCAACAATCCACTGGACACCCCCGCCTCCCTCCCACCCTCTCCTCTATACAGCCACCTGGTTCCACACTACAAAGACTCAGAGGACACCAGACTACCAGACCACGGTACTGAGTCCCACCCCTCCCAGCCCAGAGGTAGGGGCTTCTGAGCCGCTGTCCCACTGCTCCTGGTCCAGAGGAAGGGGCTTCCCAGCCACCATCCCTCCCGCTGCTCCGAGCCCAGAGGAAAGGGCTTTTGGGCCAC